GCCTGCAGGTGGCTTTTCATCACACCAGGCAATGGCTGGGAACTGGAGCTGGAGTCCAAAGAGTGGAGGCAGAAGCTGCTTGGCAGCAGCTTCCACCCATACCACCCACCACTGCTTTCCCATCCTACCTGCTGCCCAGAGCAGCGCAGCAGGGGCAGGAGGAGGAGGAGCAGCAGCTGTTGTAGGCGGGGGGAACGACTGAGCAGTGCCAGGGCAGCCACACCAGGAGCAGCCCTGCTGGGAAGTTGGACACAGTGGCTGGGGCCAGTGCCAGGGCCATGAGTAAGCGCGGGCAGGAGCACAGCATGGACTGCTCCAGGTGGGAGCGGGCAGGACATGGCCCCATGCGGAGTATCATGGGCGTAGCTGCGGGTCAGATAAAGTCAATTGGCAGGTGCCCTCCTGTGAGCCAGATTCAGTCAGTTGGTGGGCAAGATCCGGCCCATGGGCTGTTTTGCCCACCTCTGCCCCAAGGCCAGATCAGAGACATGTCTAAGCGAGTGGGGATCTGTGCAGGTGCAAGCAGCCACCTCTTTGAAGCAGTTTGTAGAACTGAGGCCTTGGGGTGTTAAGAGCTTTCGAGAAGGCCCTGTGTCCTCACTTCTTCCTACTACAAGTTTGACTAGGACCTCAGGCACTTATGTAGTGTAAATGTTAAATGCTAATTATGTTCATGTCCTGCTCTGCAAACATGCTTTTTTCCATTCACTCTGGTGGTAAACTTCTCTTACAATACCTTAGTACCGGAAATGTGATTAACAGTGCATTCCTAATATGTGGGTAAATACACAAAATAATTCTGTCCTCCCTGTTTTTCCCTATATGACCCATCCTTGGGTCCTCTTTCCCCGCTTCCCTCCTCTTCTCCCCTTGTAGCATCTTTCATCTAATGTCAGCATGGCCATTTACTTTTTCATGAGCAGGAAGCCAGTCAGTAGGCCTGTGCGAATAGGGAAGTATTTGATTAGGATTCTGATTCAGCCGATTCGGAGGACAGCGATTTGATTCAGATCACAGTCCTGAATCTGTTCAGCTGAAGCAGCCTCAGAAGATTCAGAGAGATTCAGTGATTTAGATTGGCCGGGGAGAGACAGGCACAGCTGGGCAGCTCCTCCAGTTGTGCCTGCCTCTCTCCTGGTGGGGGGATCTGTGGGAGAAGCCCCCCATAGCTGCTCTGCCTGGCCCCATTCCCCCTACCCCAGTCTAATCCCAGCACTGTATTTAAAAAAAAAAAAAAAGCCCTGCACTGGCTGCAGGAGTGGTGATCGGGGCCTCTGGGCACTTATGGCACAGGGCCCTGTGCCGCACCCCCCCCCACCCCACACACACACACAC